ACACGTACGTGGGGGGTTTGGTAGCTGAGCGGACAGCGCGCAGGACTCATAATTCTGTGGCCGGGTTCAATTCCCAGACCAGGCAGAAACAAATGGGCAAAGTTTCTTTCACTCTGATGCTCATGTTACCTACCAGTAAATAGGTACCTGGGAGTTAGTCAGCTGTCACGGGCTGCTTCCTGGTGTGTGTATGTGTGTGTGTGGGTGGTGTGGGGAAAAAAAAGTAGTTAGCAAACAGTTGATTGACAGTTGAGAGGTGGGCCGAAAGAGCAAAGCTCAACCCCTGCAAACACAACTAGGTGAATACAACTAGGTGAATACACTCTCAGACAGTCGCAGGCAAACTGCATATTTTTGGATTGCCAGAAATCCTTTGACACAGTACCACACAAGAGGCTATTGAAAAAGCTGGAGATGCAGGCAGGAGTGAAAGGGAAGGTACTCCATTGGATAAGGGAGTCCCTAAGCAACAAAAGACAGCGAGTCACTGTGAGGAGCGAGGTCTCAGATTGGCGAGACGTCACCAGTGGAGTCCAGCAGGGTTCAGTCCTTGAACCTTATACTGTTTCTGATATATGTAAATACTGGTTCGGTAACAGGGTTGTTGATTTGTGGAACCAATTTCCGCATACCGTCGTGAAGGTAGGGTCCCTCTATTGTTGCAAGTTTGGGTTGAACATGTATATGAATGGAATTGGGTGGTTATAAATAGGAGCTGCCTCGTATGGGCTAATAGGCCTTTGCAGTTACCTTTGTTCTTATGTTCTTATGTTCTAAAGTTACATTTTGAATCCACATCGAAATCCCTTTCTACGTCACCTATCGCTGGGTTCACTTCTCGCTCCAAGACCGGCCTACCCCCAATGCCCAAGACTGTTCAATCTATTTCACTAAAAAAAAATCTTAGGCTATTAAAATCAGCTTTTCCAAAAGCTTTCACTTTAACAGAATTTTCTCCTACAGATCTATTACATTCTATACTAAATCTGATTTCTTTATGATCACTGTTCCCCTAGTTCACTCCCTATTTCGATGTCATTAATTTGTGTTTCTCTGTTAGTTAACACTAATTCTAAAGTATTATATTCCCACGTTGGTTACTTAATGTGTTGCTTAAGGAAGCAATCATCAATTAATTCTAGAAAATATTCTGCTTCATTATTCCCTGTTCTGTTAAACCAGTTTATTCCACTAAAAATAAAGTCACCCATGACATAAATACTGTTAGATCTAGATGCTCTAGATATTTCATCCCATAGATGCTTTGCTTCCATTCTGTCTAAATTTGGTGGCCTATATATAACTCCTATTATAATATTATTAGCTTTTTCGTTTAATTCTATCCAAATAGTTTCTGTGTGTGGCTCAGTCTTGATTCCCTCTTTGAGACTACATTTCAAATTGTCCCTAACATATATGGCTACTCCACCTCCTCGTCTAATATATCTATCTGTGTGAAATAGTTTAAATCCATTTATTTGATATTCAGCTAATAGTTCTCTATTTTCAACATTCATCCATGTTTCGGTAAGTGCAATAATATCTATTTTTTCTGTGCAGACAAGAGCATTTAATTCATTAATTTTATTTCTTAGACTTCTACTGTTAGTGTAATATACCCTAAGTGAATTGTTATTTTGAGGCCCTTTTCTTTCCCTGATCATTTTGCCAATTCCTTTCTCCCAGAAACACATACTTTTATTACCTCCTTCCTCCAAATCAATTCCCATACCTCTATCTACTAACAGTTTAAACCCAAACACCTCTAACCACTTCTTCCAACGAGTTCGCAACAGCAACAACCCCAGCCCTCGATAGATGCACCCCATCACGAGCATACATTTCATTTCTTCCATAGAAGTGTTCCCAGTTGTCTATGAAAGATATTGCATTTGATTTGCAATATCTTTCCAGCTGGCAATTGACACCAAGTGCCCTCGACATCCATTTATTTCCCACTCCCTTTCTTGGAAGAATGCCACATATGAATATAAGTGTTATACCTTTCTTAAGACGTGCAATGACTGGCCTTAAATTTGAATGATGCGGTAATATTTGGGGAACTGAACGTTGTCTGATTTATGTGAACAAATATGTTGTTATTCCTCTAGCCAGACATATAAAAAGTAACTGCAACGTCTGTACATCAATTTCCTTTCTCCAGTTGGAAAAAGTTCAATCTAAGCTTCTCTGTACACAAAAATCACAATAGCGTGATGCATCAAATGAACAAATCCACAAGGGCCGCGATGAGGCCCTTTCAGTGGAATTCAATGGAATTCCCGGTTGCAATTCCTTCGGCCTTGCCGTGGCGCAGTCGTCTAAGGCAGCGTCTGGGATCATCCCGGGCGTCCGTTCGAACCCTCATCACAATCCTTGTGGATTTGTTCATAAGTTTCTCAGTTTCCCTTTGAACCTGAAAATTTTCTGATTGAAGTTTCCAATTCCCAGGCGGGATTACATAATAATTATTATAAACATTTATAATATAAATTATAAACACCATTTTGATGAGAGATTCTAAACTGAATCCTGTTAAAAGTTATTTTATTAATTAAATGTTTCACTTTCAATAAAGGAAGAGGAACGTGGCTTAGATTAGTGTTTTGCGCGAGCTTAGTGTGTTGTGAGTGCTAAACTCTCACACTAGGAGTGCTAAACACTCACACTAGGAGTGCTAAACTCTCACACTAGGAGTGCTAAACACTCACACTAGGAGTGCTAAACACTCACACTAGGAGTACTAAACACTCACACTAGGAGTACTAAACACTCACACTAGGAGTACTAAACACTCACACTAGGAGTGCTAAACACTCACACTAGGAGTGCTAAACTCTCACACTAGGAGTACTAAACACTCACACTAAGTACTAAACACTCACACTAGGAGTACTAAACACTCACAATAGGAGTGCTAAACACTCACACTAGGAGTGCTAAACACTCACACTAGGAGTGCTAAACACTCACACTAGGAGTGCTAAACACTCACACTAGGAGTGCTAAACACTCACACTAGGAGTACTAAACTCTCACACTAGGAGTACTAAACACTCACACTAAGTACTAAACACTCACACTAGGAGTGCTAAACACTCACACTAGGAGTACTAAACACTCACACTAGGAGTGCTAAACACTCACACTAGGAGTGCTAAACTCTCACACTAAGTACTAAACTCTCACACTAGGAGTACTAAACACTCACACTAGGAGTGCTAAACTCTCACACTAGGAGTACTAAACACTCACACTAGGAGTACTAAACTCTCACACTAGGAGTACTAAACACTCACACTAAGTACTAAACACTCACACTAGGAGTGCTAAACACTCACACTAGGAGTGCTAAACTCTCACACTAGGAGTACTAAACACTCACACAAGGAGTGCTAAACACTCACACTAAGTACTAAACACTCACACTAGGAGTGCTAAACACTCACACTAGGAGTGCTAAACACTCACACTAGGAGTACTAAACACTCACACTAGGAGTGCTAAACACTCACACTAGGAGTACTAAACTCTCACACTAGGAGTGCTAAACACTCACACTAAGTACTAAACACTCACACTAGGAGTACTAAACACTCACACTAGGAGTACTAAACACTCACACTAGGAGTGCTAAACTCTCACACTAGGAGTGCTAAACACTCACACTAGGAGTGCTAAACACTCACACTAGGAGTACTAAACACTCACACTAGGAGTACTAAACACTCACACTAGGAGTACTAAACACTCACACTAGGAGTGCTAAACACTCACACTAAGTACTAAACACTCACACTAGGAGTACTAAACTCTCACACTAGGAGTGCTAAACACTCACACTAAGAGTACTAAACACTCACACTAGGAGTGCTAAACACTCACACTAGGAGTGCTAAACTCTCACACTAGGAGTGCTAAACTCTCACACTAGGAGTACTAAACACTCACACTAAGTACTAAACACTCACACTAGGAGTGCTAAACTCTCACACTAGGAGTACTAAACACTCACACTAGGAGTACTAAACACTCACACTAGGAGTACTAAACACTCACACTAAGTACTAAACACTCACACTAGGAGTACTAAACACTCACACTAGGAGTACTAAACACTCACACTAGGAGTACTAAACACTCACACTAGGAGTACTAAACTCTCACACTAGGAGTACTAAACACTCACACTAAGTACTAAACACTCACACTAGGAGTACTAAACACTCACACTAGGAGTGCTAAACACTCACACTAGGAGTACTAAACACTCACACTAGGAGTGCTAAACACTCACACTAGGAGTACTAAACACTCACACTAGGAGTACTAAACTCTCACACTAAGTACTAAACACTCACACTAGGAGTACTAAACACTCACACTAGGAGTACTAAACACTCACACTAGGAGTACTAAACACTCACACTAGGAGTACTAAACACTCACACTAGGAGTACTAAACACTCACACTAGGAGTGCTAAACTCTCACACTAGGAGTGCTAAACACTCACACTAGGAGTACTAAACACTCACACTAGGAGTACTAAACACTCACACTAGGAGTACTAAACTCTCACACTAGGAGTGCTAAACACTCACACTAGGAGTACTAAACACTCACACTAGGAGTGCTAAACACTCACACTAGGAGTACTAAACACTCACACTAGGAGTACTAAACTCTCACACTAAGTACTAAACACTCACACTAGGAGTACTAAACTCTCACACTAGGAGTGCTAAACACTCACACTAGGAGTACTAAACACTCACACTAGGAGTACTAAACACTCACACTAGGAGTACTAAACACTCACACTAGGAGTACTAAACTCTCACACTAGGAGTACTAAACACTCACACTAGGAGTGCTAAACACTCACACTAGGAGTGCTAAACACTCACACTGGGAGTGCTAAACACTCACACTAGGAGTGCTAAACACTCACACTAGGAGTGCTAGAGTGCAACAAGTAGAGAGTGACACAGTACTGACCGAGACGACGGTGTAGTGGTTGGGGAAGGTGATGGTGGGGAAGGAAGGCTTCATGTAGGGGGCCCTGGTGCCCCGGGCGGCCAGCAGCTCCAGCGTCGGCGTCACCCCCCGCCTCAGGTACTCGGCCCGGAACCCGTCCAGCGACACCAACACCTGCCACACATGTGTGTACATATTGTAACGTGTATAAGTAGAGGGGAGTCCCTGACGACCCTAATGTGTCAGTCTGGGAGTGGTCCCTGACGACCCTAGCATGTGTCAGACTGGGAGTGGTGTCTGACGACCCTAACATGTGTCAGTCTGGGAGTGGTGTCTGACGACCCTAGCATGTGTCAGTCTGGGAGTGGTGTCTGACGACCCTAACATGTGTCAGTCTGGGAGTGGTGTCTGACGACCCTAGCATGTGTCAGTCTGGGAGTGGTGTCTGACGACCCTAACATGTGTCATTCTGGGAGTGGTGTCTGATGACCCTAGCATGTGTCAGTCTGGGAGTGGTCCCTCACGACCCTAACATGTGTCAGTCTGGGAGTGGTCCCTGACGACCCTAACATGTGTCAGTCTGGGAGTGGTCCCTGACGACCCTAACATGTGTCAGTCTGGGAGTGGTCCCTGACGACCCTAACATGTGTCAGTCTGGGAGTGGTGTCTGACGACCCTAACATGTGTCAGTCTGGGAGTGGTGTCTAACGACCCTAGCATGTGTCAGTCTGGGAGTGGTGTCTGACGACCCTAACATGTGTCAGTCTGGGAGTGGTGTCTGACGACCCTAACATGTGTCAGTCTGGGAGTGGTGTCTGACGACCCTAGCATGTGTCAGTCTGGGAGTGGTCCCTCACGACCCTAACATGTGTCAGTCTGGGAGTGGTCCCTCACGACCCTAACATGTGTCAGTCTGGGAGTGGTCCCTGACGACCCTAACATGTGTCAGTCTGGGAGTGGTGTCTGACGACCCTAACATGTGTCAGTCTGGGAGTGGTGTCTGACGACCCTAACATGTGTCAGTCTGGGAGTGGTGTCTGACGACCCTAACATGTGTCAGTCTGGGAGTGGTGTCTGACGACCCTAACATGTGTCAGTCTGGGAGTGGTGTCTGACGACCCTAACATGTGTCAGTCTGGGAGTGGTGTCTGACGACCCTAACATGTGTCAGTCTGGGAGTGGTGTCTGACGACCCTAACATGTGTCAGTCTGGGAGTGGTGTCTGACGACCCTAACATGTGTCAGTCTGGGAGTGGTGTCTGACGACCCTAACATGTGTCAGTCTGGGAGTGGTCCCTGACGACCCTAACATGTGTCAGTCTGGGAGTGGTCCCTGACGACCCTAACATGTATCAGTCTGGGAGTGGTGTCTGACGACCCTAACATGTGTCAGTCTGGGAGTGGTGTCTGACGACCCTAACATGTGTCAGTCTGGGAGTGGTCCCTGACGACCCTAACATGTGTCAGTCTGGGAGTGGCCCCTGACGACCCTAACATGTGTCAGTCTGGGAGTGGCCCCTGACGACCCTAACATGTGTCAGTCTGGGAGTGGCCCCTGACGACACTAACATGTGTCAGTCTGGGAGTGGTCCCTCACGACCCTAACATGTGTCAGTCTGGGAGTGGTGTCTGACGACCCTAGCATGTGTCAGTCTGGGAGTGGCCCCTGACGACCCTAACATGTGTCAGTCTGGGAGTGGCCCCTGACGACCCTAACATGTGTCAGTCTGGGAGTGGCCCCTGACGACCCTAACATGTGTCAGTCTGGGAGTGGTCCCTCACGACCCTAACATGTGTCAGTCTGGGAGTGGCCCCTGACGACACTAACATGTGTCAGTCTGGGAGTGGTGTCTGACGACCCTAGCATGTGTCAGTCTGGGAGTGGCCCCTGACGACCCTAACATGTGTCAGTCTGGGAGTGGTCCCTGACGACCCTAACATGTGTCAGTCTGGGAGTGGTCCCTCACGACCCTAACATGTGTCAGTCTGGGAGTGGCCCCTGACGACCCTAACATGTGTCAGTCTGGGAGTGGTCCCTGACGACCCTAACATGTGTCAGTCTGGGAGTGGTCCCTCACGACCCTAACATGTGTCAGTCTGGGAGTGGTGTCTGACGACCCTAACATGTGTCAGTCTGGGAGTGGTGTCTGACGACCCTAACATGTGTCAGTCTGGGAGTGGCCCCTGACGACCCTAACATGTGTCAGTCTGGGAGTGGTGTCTGACGACCCTAGCATGTGTCAGTCTGGGAGTGGTCCCTCACGACCCTAACATGTGTCAGTCTGGGAGTGGTGTCTGACGACCCTAGCATGTGTCAGTCTGGGAGTGGTGTCTGACGACCCTAACATGTGTCAGTCTGGGAGTGGTCCCTCACGACCCTAACATGTGTCAGTCTGGGAGTGGTCCCTGACGGCCCTAACATGTGTCAGTCTGGGAGTGGTGTCTGACGACCCTAGCATGTGTCAGTCTGGGAGTGGTGTCTGACGACCCTAACATGTGTCAGTCTGGGAGTGGTCCCTCACGACCCTAACATGTGTCAGTCTGGGAGTGGCCCCTGACGACCCTAACATGTGTCAGTCTGGGAGTGGTGTCTGACGACCCTAGCACGTGTCAGTCTGGGAGTGGTGTCTGACGACCCTAACATGTGTCAGTCTGGGTGTGGTCCCTCACGACCCTAACATGTGTCAGTCTGGGAGTGGTGTCTGACGACCCTAGCATGTGTCAGTCTGGGAGTGGTGTCTGACGACCCTAACATGTGTCAGTCTGGGAGTGGTCCCTCACGACCCTAACATGTGTCAGTCTGGGAGTGGTCCCTCACGACCCTAACATGTGTCAGTCTGGGAGTGGTGTCTGACGACCCTAACATGTGTCAGTCTGGGAGAGGTGTCTGACGACCCTAGCATGTGTCAGTCTGGGAGTGGTGTCTGACGACCCTAACATGTGTCAGTCTGGGAGTGGTGTCTGACGACCCTAACATGTGTCAGTCTGGGAGTGGTGTCTGACGACCCTAACATGTGTCAGTCTGGGAGTGGTGTCTGACGACCCTAACATGTGTCAGTCTGGGAGTGGTGTCTGATGACCCTAGCATGTGTCAGTCTGGGAGTGGTCCCTCACGACCCTAACATGTGTCAGTCTGGGAGTGGTCCCTGACGACCCTAACATGTGTCAGTCTGGGAGTGGTCCCTGACGACCCTAACATGTGTCAGTCTGGGAGTGGTGTCTGACGACCCTAACATGTGTCAGTCTGGGAGTGGTGTCTGACGACCCTAACATGTGTCAGTCTGGGAGTGGTGTCTGACGACCCTAACATGTGTCAGTCTGGGAGTGGTGTCTGACGACCCTAACATGTGTCAGTCTGGGAGTGGTGTCTGACGACCCTAACATGTGTCAGTCTGGGAGTGGTGTCTGACGACCCTAACATGTGTCAGTCTGGGAGTGGTGTCTGACGACCCTAACATGTGTCAGTCTGGGAGTGGTGTCTGACGACCCTAACATGTGTCAGTCTGGGAGTGGTGTCTGACGACCCTAACATGTGTCAGTCTGGGAGGCGTCCCTGACGACCCTAACATGTATCAGTCTGGGAGTGGTGTCTGACGACCCTAACATGTGTCAGTCTGGGAGTGGTGTCTGACGACCCTAACATGTGTCAGTCTGGGAGTGGTCCCTGACGACCCTAACATGTGTCAGTCTGGGAGTGGCCCCTGACGACCCTAACATGTGTCAGTCTGGGAGTGGCCCCTGACGACACTAACATGTGTCAGTCTGGGAGTGGTCCCTGACGACCCTAACATGTGTCAGTCTGGGAGTGGTGTCTGACGACCCTAGCATGTGTCAGTCTGGGAGTGGCCCCTGACGACCCTAACATGTGTCAGTCTGGGAGTGGCCCCTGACGACCCTAACATGTGTCAGTCTGGGAGTGGCCCCTGACGACCCTAACATGTGTCAGTCTGGGAGTGGTCCCTCACGACCCTAACATGTGTCAGTCTGGGAGTGGCCCCTGACGACACTAACATGTGTCAGTCTGGGAGTGGTGCCTGACGACCCTAGCATGTGTCAGTCTGGGAGTGGCCCCTGACGACCCTAACATGTGTCAGTCTGGGAGTGGTCCCTGACGACCCTAACATGTGTCAGTCTGGGAGTGGTCCCTCACGACCCTAACATGTGTCAGTCTGGGAGTGGCCCCTGACGACCCTAACATGTGTCAGTCTGGGAGTGGTCCCTGACGACCCTAACATGTGTCAGTCTGGGAGTGGTCCCTCACGACCCTAACATGTGTCAGTCTGGGAGTGGTGTCTGACGACCCTAACATGTGTCAGTCTGGGAGTGGTGTCTGACGACCCTAACATGTGTCAGTCTGGGAGTGGTGTCTGACGACCCTAACATGTGTCAGTCTGGGAGTGGTGTCTGACGACCCTAGCATGTGTCAGTCTGGGAGTGGTCCCTCACGACCCTAACATGTGTCAGTCTGGGAGTGGTGTCTGACGACCCTAGCATGTGTCAGTCTGGGAGTGGTGTCTGACGACCCTAACATGTGTCAGTCTGGGAGTGGTCCCTCACGACCCTAACATGTGTCAGTCTGGGAGTGGTCCCTGACGGCCCTAACATGTGTCAGTCTGGGAGTGGTGTCTGACGACCCTAGCATGTGTCAGTCTGGGAGTGGTGTCTGACGACCCTAACATGTGTCAGTCTGGGAGTGGTCCCTCACGACCCTAACATGTGTCAGTCTGGGAGTGGCCCCTGACGACCCTAACATGTGTCAGTCTGGGAGTGGTGTCTGACGACCCTAGCACGTGTCAGTCTGGGAGTGGTGTCTGACGACCCTGTAACACGGGTTAGGGTCCCTCCCTCTTTACTTCCTACCTTCTACTCCCTCTACCCGTATTCTTACTTTTATTTCTAAACCAAGGGACTCCAAAACTTTTAACAAAGCCAACTCCACGCCACGTGGTCCTAAGACGATTGACCGACTTAGGATTCTACACCCAGTATGACGTGACCTAAGCTCTGAACAAAACCCTAGAGTCACCTCTGCTGCCACCACCAGACCAGTAATACAAGAGCAATGATCGAGGTCTGGATCGATCACGCTAATTAATCAACCTAGGGGCTTGATCCCCACTATAAACGATGACCTTGAGTGTGGAATAAATTACACGGTAATGATAATTCCGATT